TATTTTTTTATTTTAATTAATAATATGTTTTACTTCAATAGTCTTTATAAATTACTTTTTAAATTTAATTAAACCACTTAAGTAATGAAATTTTGAATTTTAAAATTATATCAAAATAAAATTTTAAAGTTTTAGAACAAATAATTTTATTTTGAATTTCATTAATTAAAAATTTAAAAAAATAAAAACTTACACAGTAAAAAATTAACCAGTAACTAATATAATGAAGTGGCTCCATTATAGTAGGAGATATAGTGTTCATGAATCTTCATTATATTATTTATTTTAATTTTTAATTTTGCTTTGCTATTTAAAGGAAATAAAAAATTAAAAAATTGATTTTTTAATAAAAAAATATATTTATTATAACTTTAATATATATCTTAAAAATAGGCCAAAGCCCCTATTTGCACCCTCCATTTATTTGTTTTCCGCGGTCAACACATTCTAGAATTTTTCCTCCCTATTCACACCCTCCACTTTTCAAAACCCGTGAAAAACCCAATATTTTAACGGGCCGTCACAACACCGTTAAAAAATATATTACGTGGCACCCAAAAATTGACGTGGCACTATGTAACGTTAATAATTCAACGTGGATATTTTTTTTTATGATGTGAACGCCACGTATACAGAAAAATAATAAAAAATTATAATATTATCAAATAGTTACATAAATAGCATTTTTTCATTTTTTTTCTTTCCCCCCTCATCCTCGGCATCATTTTCACCATCCTCCATCTTCACCATCCTCGCGCAGGAGCCCGACGAACCCGAATTGGGTTCCCCGCAAGGAACCTAGTTTTGGGTTCCTCGCGCAGGAGCCCAGAACTGGGTTCTACGCGAAGAACCCGAACTGGGTTCCTACGCAGGAACCTAGCCTAGATCTGGGTTCCTCGCGTGGAACTGGACTGGGTTCCTTGCGTGGAACTGGACTGGGTTCCTCGTGTGGAACCCAGTTCGGGTTCCTGTGCGGAACCCATTTCTGGGCTGGGTTCCTGCGCAGGAACCCAGATCCAACCTTTTTTTTTATTTTTTTATTTTAAATGTATTTATCTTAGCTTCCAATTTTATGCAAAGTAATTTGGAATAATTTTTTTGTTGGAAAGGTGAGTTTTTTGGCGTGGAGATTGTTTCTGAATAGGTTACCAATTTGAGTTTTTTTCGTTTTTTGTGGGAAATGAGTAAAATATGCTTATAATGTTTTTGTGCAGATTATTAAGTTCCACGAAGAACTCAGAACCTGGGTTTCGTGAGGAACCCAGGGGGATGAGGACGAGGATGGTGAAGATGATGCCGGGAAAGAAAAAAATGAAGAAATTAAAATTAATGATGATTTAATTATAACACATATAAAAAAAAGTTCAACATTGGATTAATAAATGTGACATAAAGTTCTGGGTTCCTGGTTCCATGAGGAACCCAGGAGGATGAAGAGGAAGATGGTAAAGATGATGCGGAAAAGAAGAAAATAAAAAAATTAAAATTAATTATGGTTTAATTATGCCATATCATCAAAAAAAAAAAAAAGTCCACATTGGATTATGTTACTGTTTAATGCCACGTATTACAATTTTTAGCGGTTATTAACGGTGCCGTGACGACCCGTTAAAATATTGGGTTTTTCACGGGTTTTGAAAAGTGGAGGGTGTGAATAGGGAGGAAAAATTCTGGAAGGTGTTGACCGCGGAAAACAAATAAATGGAGGGTGCAAATAGGCTTTGGCCTTAAAAATAAAGATTAAAAAAACTTTTTCATAATACTCCATTTATTCATTTTTAGTGAATCTAGTTTTTTTATCTAATAAAATAGAGATGTA